CTCAACGGCCAATTAATTATTTACGCAGTGAGCTCTGTCGACTGAAGAAGCTATCTTTTGCGTGTACGTGCGCGCGATTGCAGTCGAAATCGGAAACTATGCACTAACGTGCGAAATTGTGTCGCTCGTGATAGAGTCGTGTTCCGACGTACGGACGACGACGCGCCGTTAACCGTTTTTTCCAATATGTTTTTCTATCTGAAACTCGGCAAAATTGCACACGCTTCCGTCGATGATTTGTTCGGTTAGCCTCGGCAGAAATAGCCAAGTCGTGGCGCTCTATCTGTAGATAAACTTCTCCGCGGTATCCTGTCGTAGCTCTGGAATGTTCAATAATGTTTTCTTTTCTTTGCTTTTTTGTCTCGCAAATGTCACAGTTTTTCGAAACGAAAGCTACGCGTTTGCAAGCCAGCGGCTATCCCGACGGATAAGCCGAGACGCACGAGTGACAGCAGTTCGAGCAACGAGTTTTTCTCCAAAGCTCGCCTTGGCAGATTGGAAAAAATCGGCGGCGAGTCGATCCGCAGAACGATTCTAATGAGGGCACTTCACTCGTGCATCAATGAGACGCGAGTGTAAATCTTGATCCGCGCAGGTTAGAAAAAAAAAATGATTTCTCTTCTCGCAGTTGCGTGAGCTGTTAAAAAGCGCGGTGCACGCATTTTGCTAGCGAAGACGGCCGCTCTGGTCTATCTTTGTAGGTTACCAGAGAAAGAGAGTGAGAGAGAGATTAGCGGAATACGGCTCGACCTTGCATCGCGCGTGCACGTTCGGCTGAACGACGGAAAGTCGGAGTCGCTCCGCTGCGTTCGTCTTCGCGGGAGCTTCTCGAGTGAAGTGGGCGAGGCGAGCCGAGAGTCCCCGCGAAGCGCGAGAGGCGCGCAAGGTTGCGCCGCGGGCCAAGCGCGCGCGACGCAGACTGAGCGCCACACGCGAGCAAGCTGGCCGGCGTAAGTATAACTGGTTGGCTGGGCTCCAGCCAGACGCGGAAGCCAGACCGCGCTCGAAACCGAAGCGGACCGCGCAGACAGAAAAAGATGCGCCGGCGCGAGCGCGTCGCTTCTTTTCCTTTCCTCTTCTGATCGCGCGACCATCGACTGTACGCACGAGAAATCGCCAACAGCCCATTCGACATGTCCGACGAGTGCGACTTATGCATCCGCTCGTTTTCTCCCCATTAAACTTTTGTCCGCTTTATTAGCCGATCTCCGGATAGAAATGTGCGTCTCTCTCTCACTCTCATTCGACGCGTGCTGCGCCTCACGGACATTTCACTGCGCTATCACTCGACAATCGCTCGCGCTTGAATTTCAGATTGTTTCCTGCAGCGCGGCCGTTTCTTCTCCTGTTCGCTCGCTGTTCTTTATTCATGCACTCGAGGAAGCGTCGGAAAGTGTACGATTTCATCGATCGTCGATTATTCAACGAGTAGGCGCGACGTCGCGCAACCGCGAGACCAATCGAGCTGCCTCCGACGCGCGCGAACAGAAAAAGCGATACATCCGCCGTGGCAGAAGGAAGCTCGCGGAGCAGCTCGTCCCCCGCTGACCTAGTGGCGCGCTCGCGGTCGCGGACGGGCACAAGGGAACTGCTGGCGGAGGTGTCGAGGTTGAGTCGCTATTCGCCGTCGTCCGAACGTTATAGCGCGCGAATCGGACGGATCCGAGCATTCAGAGGAGAATACGCGAGCGCGCAGAGCCGTGTATCGCACTGCGGGTTCGCCCAGTGGACTTTTCCTCCTCTCTCGTTACCTGTCCGTTCGTTAGAGCAGCGCGCATTCGGTTGCGCAAGCGAACAACGCGGCGCGCCCGCGCGCGACTTTGGCGCCTCGGGGCTCTGCATTTTTCGCGCGCGCGCGCATTCTCTCTATCCGCTCGGCTGCAGTGCGGCGACGGCGGCGGCGGCAACAGCAGCAGCAGCTACCAACTAGAATCAGGTCAGCGCCATGTAAAATAGCCGACTTTCCGCGTGCGCCTGTGCGCCGGTTCGCTCGCTGACGCAAGCCCCCGACAACTGCACCGCGATGACTTTCCATCAAAAGGCCGCGCACGTGCGCTCCTGGCTTTCGTTTCGCGCTGACCATTTTCTCCGCGCGTTCGCGATCGTTCGCTTTCTATTTCTGCGGAGACGCGTCCGTGACGATCGCTCGCTATTCGCATTCGCGCTCCGCTCGATTGTGAGCCGCGAGTGTCGTACGGCTGCTTGACCCCAACTTCCTCGGCGACGACCGCGGAAGTCGAATTCAAATATCGCCCTCTTTGATTATGCTGGGAGCCGCGCGCGAGCGAGAAACTTGCCACCCGAGCGCCGACAAGAGCATTCCCCTTGGGCCGAGATTTTCAGCAGCAAATGGCCCCGAGAGGATGTGCCCTCGCAAGACGATCGTCCATCGTCGAAGTCGCCGATGTACTCGGCCGCTCGCACCTACGCACGCAGAGAGCGCTGGTGGCCAACAGCTCGTTTGGAGGCCAGCGATCACGTCAGTGAGCCAGCACGTGAACTCTAATTAGCGTCCGAGATCGGGGAGCATGCCGGGAGCATCGACCCTCGGGAGTACAGAGGGCGCTCGGGGCTACCGCTGCCAAACTATCTCTCGCGCTGCTGTTGCGAATTAATGCCGAAGTAACGAGATCGCCTCTCTTCAAAAATAAACTGATTCATCATTTCCGCATTTCTTTTCACCCCCCTCCTCTATTTCCAGCCCGCGAATTGATCATTCGAAGATGGTTTCGGTTTTGGAGCTATCGATAGCTATTCCAAGCGCCACTACCGGCAATTGTCCGACGACTCGTTGGCGCGATCCGAGCAGCTCCCGCCCGGCGTGATTTGGTCGGTCGACGCTGTACCTCAGTGTCGGCACGTGCGCGAGCTCGCGTATTTATTTCGGGCCGCGTGAAATCATGAATGGAACAGGCGCGTTCAATTTGGGCTGCGTTCCCAAGTCGCGGAATAGCGCGCGAGAAACGGAGGTGTATAGTGTCGCGTGTCTCTCCTCGATTCCCCGACGAAACAATAAATTGTAATCCCTCGCGCGGCTCTCGCGTGGGAGTACAAGAGAGCGAGCTTCGAAGGGTAGCTATATAGCTTTTTGGCTAAGTGCCCCACGCGAGGCGCGACTCTCTCTCTCTCTCTCGTCTATTTCTGACGAGCCTGAGGCTTGAGGTTCGCGTCGACGAGTCTATTTCTACTTGCGCGCGGCCGAGGAAGAAAAAAAAAATAGAATAAAATAATCAAAATTAGCGACACTTGGCGGTGCATCGGGTTGACGACCCACCCGATGCGCGGCGAAATTTATTGGCACGCTGCGACTCATCATGCGCCAGGCGCGCGACTCTACGCTAGCTCGCTCCGAGGGGGCTGCTGTCGCCGAGTGTACGTTTTTGCGCGGATGCCAACGACTAGCTGCTATCCAAATTTTTTTTCCCCTCGGCGCATGTTCCAGCCCGGGGGGCATGTCGACCTAACGCCTCGTTCTTGGAGCCACGACTGGTGCTTATCGGCGAATCACATTTGTGGATCAGCTGGCCTGTGCTCGCAATTAGCGAAGCGACGGCTTTTGCACTCAGCCGAACTGGATTTTTGGTCTTATCGATTTGACGTTGTATACGTTTCGTCGTCGTTATATATAGCACGACGTAGCGCAGGAAGGAAGTAACTCGACAGATTGGGAGCAGCTTCCGCTCTATCTTCGTACAAAGGTCAAAGATCGAAGAGATTTTTCACGGTAGCCGACGTGTTCACGAAAGGGGAAATATCGACGATGTCATTCGAGACGTAGAGTATAAATAATTGGTTACGCAATAGTTGGTCGTCGGATAACGAGAGCGCCTCGGCTTTCTCCGACGCAGCGACAGATACGAAGAAACAAAGAAGGTGCAAGCGGTGCGCTCGCGCCACGTGGGCGAGCTTGCGTCGAGGCGGCGCGTGGGCCACGTGTATGGAAGCTGCGCAGCAACAGGCTGCACCTTTCTCTCGCTCGCTCGCCTCAAAGCTCTATTAATCTACGACTTCCGCCCGCGCGCGCTCGACGCCCATTGGGTCAGCGGTCTATCCAACGGGATGAGTCGCGAGGTCATCTCCCCCGATTGTCTCGATTAGCATTGTTCTTTTTTCCTTGGGACTTGATCGGCCAAGTGTTGTCGTGGATGCCCGGTGTGTCGTCTGGTGCCTGCCTGCGGAACTTCGATGCGGCGCGCGCTACGCGGCTTCGCGGTGCCCGAGGGATTTCAAAGGCCGCCGCGCGATCTTCGCGTAGCTTTGCTGTTCTTTTATTTCTTGCCAATTCGCCAGTCTTTCCCTTGACCAGTTCACCAATAAAAAGTGCCCGATTGAAATTCCATCATCGATAAGTTCAACTTTTACTGGTCTTGCTGATAACATTGATTAGGTCGATTGTAATTGAGATTGAAGTTAGTCGTAAGGTTTTACAATCATTAAAAATAGGGAGTGAATGTAAATTGATTTCAAAAATGAAACGCAATAAATTCCTTATCTTTGATTAGATGGAGTAAAAAATTATTCTTAGTTATATAATTGACCAAGTTGATAAGCCAATGGACCAACACAAAATTTCCGAGATATCTGAATCTTTTATTAGTTGCGTTTGGATCACGATATAATCAAACGAGGCAAGGGTGACATGCATCTACAGTACATTACGCCAACAAAAGAACGTAATAAATGTTTTATGCGTTATTATGAACAATTGGCAAATTTTTCCTTCATTTTCTACAGAGAAACAAACAAGTACTTGTGCAAGTACGTAAGAATCGTACTTGCCTAACTCGACTGAACGACGGGCTTGGTGTACGGGTTATATTAATTATCTCATAAATGACGGGCGCAAGGAAAAAGTGAAATTTGCATAACGTCAATCGACCTAATTTTCGATATAAAAACGAGTGCTTTCCCACAGAGACTCTACTCTACCATTATTCGTAGCCACAATGCGTATCGTTACAGCAGGCGAACTAACGAGCTAATGGGATGATTTTGCGCAGGTCGTTGGAGATCTTCGAGCGGCATGGACAGACGCACTCGGAGATTCTGAAGCAGCAACGCCTCGCTGGGGGCTGTGGTCTGGGCGGTCCACTGCGACACAAAAACTCAATTATATTCTGGCTGACTTGCAATCAGGTAATGCCCCATCTCCTTCCCTCCCCGGCGCTCGATACTGCACTGTCTGTTTTCCCCAAAAAATTGTTCGGTGCGCTTGTACGTCATTTTTACGAAATTTCCAGGGAAGAGGCGACGAGACAACGTCGTGATGAAAGTTCGATAGTCGATCGCTGAGCAGTGTTTCAATTGACAGTAAACGAACGTTGCTCGTGCGAAATAAGACTAAGATTTACCTGTTTACTCGAACGTGGCTAGTGGATGGGTACGGTAACAACGTCATTCGTCGTTCATTCCTCGTTCGGCCTTCGTTATCCTAGTCGCAATTGCGTTTCCACCGAAGCGTCCCTCCCCAACATAGCCACGTCAACGTGTTTCGTTGAAAAAGCTACACGGCTTTCGCGATATTTCAATCATTTGGCCAGTGAACCTGAGCGAGGCTCGCGGCAAACAAACGTCTCTCCCGAGCGTCCACGAACATGGTATTTTTCTCAAGACAGACGAGTTTGAGTTTGGTAAACTTCAAACAAGGCAAGCTGACTAAATATCTACTTGAAGTTTGCTCTACTCGCGTAGCGCTTGGCTGAATTTGCAAATTGTATAATTTTTGCGGGTTAGGCGCCGAATAATAGCGCCGGTATCTAAGTCAAATAGAGTTTTAACGAGGAGAATGGAGTTCAATGTCAGTTTTTTTTATCGATCAGGATAAAGGCGGGAAAAAAACGTTGGCACACGGGTATCCGAAAGTGAATTCGCACGGGGCCCGAACGCGGATCGACTCGCGAGCCGCTCGATCGCGCCGAAGATTTATCGCGAAGAATGGAGCGCGCGCGCGCGCGCGGCTAATCGGCGCGCGTACACGAATAGGCTCTCTCGAAACGGATAGTCGAAACGAGAGCGCGAATGGGCAGGTAACGTACCGTGGGGCGCGCGAAAGCTGGAATTTGAAGTTTTTTCTTTTCGGGCGCGCGCAGCCTCGGTCAAGAGTGAGAGGCGATCCGATTTGCTTTTCCCGTTATTGCCGCTCGCTCGCTGCCGGCCGAGCTTACGCGCGCGTGCGCTCAAGCAGCGATTGCACGCCGCGGCTCGATTATCGGAGCACGCGAGCCACCGAGCTCCAAGTCGCGCGCTTCGTTGACGCCCCCTCCCGATAGCCGCCCAAAAGTTTTCCTCTCGTCGGCGATCGCTTCCGTTGACGGATGCCGTCGTTTGTCAATCGTGACCCAACGTCCGTCAGCAGTGACAGTTTGCGGCAAGATTATGTAAGGCACTCCAGAGTTAGCTCTACTTCAGGAATATTCGGCTTCAGCGCGCGTTACGTCAACTTCGGAATTTGAAGTGAAGCGATAAATAGACGATAGAGGCGAGTTCAAGGCTTTTCAACTTCTCACTGACGCAAATGTTATATCTTTTAATAATCTGTATAGCTGAAAAATATTTGTCTTAGAAACATTATCAGTCTAGTTGAACGCTGTGGCACTGTGGGCGTACGGCGAGGCGAGGCGCGTGTACGGATTAAGTTGTAATTCAAATCGTCGAACGAGCAAGTGTCGCGTTCTGGGATAGCCGGAATCGGAATGGGATTCAACGGCACATGCCAAATGCGCGTTTTATCGGGAACAATGGGATCGTGAGAAGCGCGCGGCGTCGGAAAAGCGAGGTGGGAGAAGCCGCGAGCCGGAAAAGAATTCAAATGAAGCGATTAAAAAGCAGCGAGCACGGCCGGGAAGAGGAGCGAGCGCGACCGAAAGTACCAGTCGGACTGGTTCGAGCGCCCGGCGAACATTGCTGATTAGCAGTCCGCGCGCGGCGGCTTTTCGAATCCGCATTGCCGCTCGGCCCGCCGAGAGCCGCGCGCGTGCGTCGCGAAATTGCAGGACTGCAGCGGACCCCGGAAAGCCATAACTGGTTTGCGGCAAGGGTGCGGGGGAGGCGTCGCGCATCGTCTACGCGGCCGCTCGTTAATGAATCGCGCGCGACGCGCTTGCGTGCTTCGGTCGCGGCTCTTCACTTTCGAAGCGTCGTCGTCTTGCTTTGAAGACGCGTCGATCTTGGCCGAGTCGGGACCGGGAGAGGTCTCGATTTGAAGCGCTGCCACGCCTCGGCGCTTATCAATTTCCAGGTCCGTCTTCGGCCCAGGCGCTCGTGTTTCGAATGCTCGAGCGATCCGCCGATTTCCCACTGACGACGACGCCGTCGGCCTTCGAGAAGCTCGTATCGCATGACAATTATATTTGCGGAGCACGCGCGCTTATGTCGTTAGGGCTAGGTGAACGTCGATGGCTCGCAATTTCCACGTGCGCGACGGACTGAAGAATAGCGTGTAATTAAACTATTTGCACGGAACGAATCTTGCGAAACGCGAGCCGAGACTGCGCTCGCGCATAGCGCAGGTGAAATAGGAACGAGGCAATTTTGTAAATTATTTGAATAATCGCAGGATCGCAGGCAGAGAGGAGAGGCGCATATACGCGTGTATGTACGTGTGTCGACTGCGCGGCGCGCGCGAGAGCGCTCCGTAATTTGAGAGCGATATAACCGAAAGGAACCGAGGGAAAGAATGCCGGGCGCTGGCAGCCCGGGGAAAGCCATTGGATCCGCGTCGATCGAAGAGAAAACGCTGAAATCGCCGACAATTGATTAACGCACGCGAGTGCTGCGCTTGCGCAACGGCTGCCGCGGCGCGGCGCAGAATGCGGGCGAACTCGCGGCTAGAAAGTGGGATCAAGCCGATCGAGCCTTGACACGTTTCGCGAGTCGCGCGCGCGCCAGCGCCGAGGCGGAGGTGCCGTCTCGACGGGGCTCGCAAGGGCGCCAGTCCCGCGGCTGAACTCCTTGCGCCTGCTCGCGGGCGCAAGTGGCCCCGCAGTTACGACCGATCGATCGCGGAAAGACGGGAGAGCGAGACATGGAAAGGGCAGTGCAAGGAGGAGGGCGAGCCCTTTCGAGGGCAGTTCCACGTCGATGCGCCTTGATCGTCGCGCAGTCGCCAGCCAAAGGGACGAGACGACACGAGCTGTGGCTGCTGCGCTTGCGATTCGCCCCGGAGCCAAGGCAGTCGCTCGCTCCCGCCGGCGCGCTGACTAAGCAAATAAGGAGGAAGAGCGCGCAAGCCACTCCGGCTCGACGACTGAGTGTCCACTTGTCGCACGTGACCTTTTACTCGGCTTCTTAAATATTGGCCGCGAGTCGTCGTCGCCTCTTCCAGGCTCGCCTGAAAGCCGCGGAGCGGGCTTATTAATTGGGTGGTTCCGGCCTTGCAATAAGGGCACTCGTGTGCCGAGCCATGCACATGCAGCAGTGACATATCAGCGACGAATAAGTCAACAGCTATCTTTTTGCCGCAGCCTCGGGAAGCACAATTAAGATAGGCTGGAACACGACTGGCGGTGTAATCGAGGGCGAGCCGCTGGCGTATAGAAAATTGAAACTCCGAACGGGCGACTAGCGTAGCAGCGCTACTAGCCGTGGCATAGTCGGAGCCGAGCGACTTCCTTCCGCCTCACTTTCTGCAGATCCCATCGCTGCGGGCACCCGGCGCGTACACGCCTCTGTCTCTCTCTCTCTCTCTCTCTCTCTCTCTCTCTCTCTCTCTCTCTCTCTCTCTCTCTCTCTCTCTCTCTCTCTCTCTCTCTCTCTCTCTCTCTCTCTCTTTTTTGTCCTCGAGCGGCGGCGACGTTACATCGAATCGCCATGCGGCGCGCATGTGTGCGAAGCGTTAAGGGCATGGGATCGCGCAACTCCCTAACTCGTTTGCGAGCGCCCGCGGAGCTCAGGCTGTTTCGGAGAGACGTTCTTACGTTGCTTGCCACCAATGGATTTCAGTTTGCCGACTCTCGCTTCCCGCGATCTCGTGACGCCCTTCCGCCTCCAATCGGATTGGAAATGTCATCGGCAGTCTCTAAATCAGGAGTACGTAAATCGGGCTGCGTATGCAATTTCATGGGCTCAGTCTATTTATAATTAGAAATTCACGTTCGCGAGCCAAGTAATAATTCGAAAAACCACGTGTCAAAGTCATTTATGAAGTCGTCTCACAATCACTGTCGAGCTGTAAACTGTACGGTACAGATAAGCTCAATTTCCTTTTCCATGGAAGTATCTAATCAAATAAGCCTCGGCCATACTTAGATGGACCTCGTCAAAAGTCACGCGTCAAATTTATAAGCACACATTTGGACAGGCAGTCTAATTTATATAGACAATTTATGGACATGGGCGCACATGACTACGCGAAATACTCGAGAGAGGCTCGCGCGAGTTGGATGGGGGGGGGGGGGGGGGGGGGGGGATCGCGCAGCGCGCACACGGACGCGCAGTGTAGAAGCGTGCGCCGCCCGCGCAAAATTAGCGGCGCTTAGTAAGCCGATCAATTAAAATAACAAACGTTTCCGCAAGGAGTCCACGACGCGCGATAGTTCAGGACAATTAACTTTCGCTTTTTCTTTATTGCGCGTTCGCGCATACATTGCCGCGCGCCCGTGGCGCCGAGGAATTTTTCTCCTGCCTAGGTTAGCGTAATTGAAATCTCCACTGCCGACGCGAAGCCCCGTCACACGCGCGCGCGTAACCGCTGCCAAATGAGAAATATGCCAACGACCGAGACATTATTATTACTGTTATTGTGCACACGGCGAATTCCGTTAATTGCGGCAAAAACCGAAGTTACGTGGAGCTCGTTTTGCTGTACACGTGAAATGCCGTGCGGCTCGCCGACTGGATGTCGCGTCGCATGGAATGGGTAAAAAACCAACGGCTGGCGGCGCGCGATGTGGCTATTTGCTCGCCTCGACGGCGAACCCCGTGCGCTAGGGTAATTAGCTTACGAGCGAGTCGATCGATAAAGAGACGAAAGAACAGCGAGGGGGCACGCGGAGATAACTCGCGCACGGAGGGCAGAGGCGTTCGCGCGCGACCGCTGATGACGAGCGATTAATTATCCGGAATTCCCGGTGCGACGAACCGCTGTCACGGGCCAGCGAGGCACTCTGCCCCGGCGTCTTTCTGTGAGAAGCGCTGAA